GAGAGCCTTTCCATAGGACCGGCTTACTCACAACGGCGAGTGCCAAGATGAATTTCCAGGCCAAACTTAACAGCGCACAGAAGCCAACAGAATCGTTCACCAGCTACATCGAAGACATTATTGGTCTTTGAAACCGTGTGAACACCACCATGCCCGAGTTGGAGAAGATTCAACACATCCTCAAAGGAATAAATGGCGGCGCAATTCAGATGCTCCTGGCCCGTAATCCTGCCACCGTTGCGAAACTTATCACTTTGTGTCAAAGTTTCGACGAGTTGAGCAAGCAGCGCGCACTGACTCGGCCATTTTCCTCACACGCCGCCTCGCTCTCCAGTCTCACTTCCGTTCCCGACCACTCACCAACCCTACAAGAGATTACAGACTTCGTGCGTGAAGAAGTAGCTCGGCAACTGTCGTTGATTCTCTTCACGCAGCAGCCGCCGTCCTCTCGTCTGCCCTCACCACTCCGCGACGTTATTGCCGAAGAGGTAGCTCAGGCTGTTCCCGTCGCTGCCCACCAGCAGCCTGTGGCCATGCCTGTTGCCCATGCGCCGGCTATGCAACCCGTGGTCGCGCCTCTTACGTATGCCCAGGTGGTACGCAGCAGACCCTGCCAGCAGCATTTGCCACCCATGTCTTCAGTTGCTCCCCACTCCACCCCTTTTTCGACACCTTGAGCCACACCACGAGTCAGCAATTCTTGGTGCACTCCTGACAATCGAACGATCTGCTACGCCTGCGATACTCCAGGACACGTGGCACGATATTGTCGCCGTCACTTCCAACCACTCCACGACGCTACTCGGCCGTTACCGTATGACCCACAGCCCATGCACATACCGGCTCCCTATCCCTCACCGCAGTATGGATACACTAACCTTCCCGAGTCTCGGTCACCCCAGCCCTCACCTCAGACTCACTCTCCCCGCTCCCCATTTCCTCGCAGGTGATCACTGTCCCCCATGCGTCCTCGACCCGCTTCCTCACACCGGGAAAACTGAACGCCGCAGTTCCATAGGCAAGAACGGCGCCGTCGTCGAAATGCTCAAGTCCTCGCACTTCACCTGCTAACGTCGTCGCCATATCTGTCGATGGTGTTTCTACCTTTGCCCTCATCTACACAGGTGCTGCCGTTTCTGTTATAGCCACCCAGCCCTGCCGCTCCCTACGCAAAGTGACCACGCCGCTCTCTGGACTATCGCTTCGTACAGCTAGCGCACAACCAGTTCGACCTCTCGGCAACTGTACGGCCCGCATATTCATCCAAGGCTCTATGTACGTTGTCTAGTTCATCGTCCTTTCGGTATGCTCGCATGACGTTATCCTCGTGTGGGACTTTCTGTCAAATCATCATGCCATCATCGACTGCGCACGCGCTGAAGTTCAATTTTCGCACCTGTGTGACGAACCTTTGCACGAAACCCTTGAGTGGTCGCCAAAACTTGTCGTGCGTGAGGAAACTGAAATTCCGCTAGCCTCTCTTGCCGTTTTCCCTGTTTGCTGCGATGACCATAACGATGCTACGGTATTGTTTAAACCTTCCGACATTTTCATGAGCCGCAGAGCCGTTTCTTTGCCTTTCGCTACAATTGATGTCACTGCTGGCCGAAGCAATATTTTCGTCCACAACCCCCTTTCTGAACCGCTTACTCTACTTGCCGGCGAATGTCTCGGTCGAGTGGATTACCTTGATTCTTCTTTATTTCTTAACATGTCAGACGAATCGTGCAGTAGCGCCTCGATCGAACTTCATGCCCTTTCCCCACTGGAATGCTCGTCGAGTCACACCTTCTCGAGTTCCATCGCCGACACCTTAAGTGCTCAAGAACGCGCCGAGCTTCTTAATCTCCTCCAGCACTTCGCGAATTCATTCGACGTTTCTCAGCCGCAATTGGGTCGTACTTCCGCAGTGCACCACTACATTGACACCGGTTCACAACAGCCATTGCGTCAAAGACCATACCGTGTCTCTGCTGCAGAGCGTCACGTCATCAACGACCAGGTCGAAGAGATGCGACGTCGTCGCGTTATTCAACCATCACAAAGTCCTTGGGCATCTCCTGTCGTTCTAGTTCGAATAGTTCAAAAGAAGGATGGATCGATTCGATTTTGCGTCGACTACCGGCGATTAAACAAGGTGACGCGGAAAGACGTCTATCCATTACCGCGCGTTGACGACGCCCTTGACAGCCTCCAAGAAGCCGAATTCTTCTCCTCCTTAGACTTACGATCTGGATATTCGCAGGTTCCTATGGCAGAAGCTGATCGCCAGAAAACTGCGTTCATTACACCAGATGGCCTGTATGAATTTAACGTTATGCCATTTGGGCTTTGTAATGCCCTTGCCACGTTTGAACGACTCATGGACAACACACTGCATGGACTGAAGTGGTTTGTGTGTCTATGCTACCTCGACGACATTGTCGTTTTCTCTCCCGATTTTCCTACACATCTGCTTCGGCTCCAACTGGTTCTGACGTGTTTAACCAACGCTGGACTCCAACTGAACCTCAAAAAGTGCCGCTTCGCTGCGCGAGAGCTGTCCATCTTACGGCACATCGTATCCAATCATGGTGTTCTACCCGACCTTGCAAAACTGCGAGCAGTCGCCGAGTTCCCGAAACCTACTACACTGAAAGAATTACGCAGTTTCATCGGACCATGCTCGTACTTCCGGTGCTTAGTTCGAAATTTTGCGTCGATCATGTCACCACTGACCAACCTCCTACGCCGTGACGCAGACCTTTCATCCTGGTCTCCTGACTGCGACGTCGCGTTCGCCACGCTTCGTAGTCTGCTAACATCTCCCACCATTCTACGGCATTTCGATCCAACAGCTGCAACGGAAGTTCACACAGACGCTAGCGTGGTGTTGGTCTTGGCGCTGTCCTCGCCCAGCGCAAGCCGGGCTACGCCGAATACGTCGTCGCTTATGCGAGTCGCACGCTCACTAAAGCTGAGGCCAATGACAGCGTCACTAAAGAAGAGTGCTTAGCGCTAGTGTGGGCGCTTCGCAAGTTCTGCCCTCATTTGTACGGTCGCCCATTCGACCTGGTAACGAAACACCATGCACTTTGTTGGCTCGCCACATTGAAAGATCCTTCTGGCCGCCTAGCTCGGTGGGTACTGCAAATCCAGGAGTGCGACATTCGCGTGATCTATCGCAGCAGACGCAAGCATTCTGACGCCGACGCCCTGTCCCGTTCGCCTTTACCTCCCGACTCGGCCTGCGGAACCACTGGTACCAACTCCGTCGCATCTCTCGACCTCGACTCGTTTGCCAGTGAACAACACAAGGACCCATGGATCGCTTCCCTTTTTGATTGTCTCTCTGGATCGTCAACCACTGCGGTATCACAATCTCTCCGACGTCAAGCTGCTCATTTCGCCATTCGTGATCGGCTGATACACCGACGCAACTACGCCTGGAGGTCGTAAGTGGCTCTTGGTTGTCCCCCGCAGCTTGCGATCACAAATATGCACCACCTTTCACGACGATCCCCAATGTGGCCATGCTGTAGTTTTCAAAACTTACGAACGCATTCGCCGTCGCTTCTACTGGCGCGGAATGTATAATTTTGTTCTAAAATTCGTTATGGGCTGCCCTGACTGTCAACGCCGCAAATCACCGCCTTTTCACTCGTCCGGTGCGCTTCAACCGCTTCCGTGCCCTGCCAAACCTTTCGATCGAATCGGAATTTATCTCTATTGCCCTCTGCCGACAACGTCGGATGAAAATCAGTGGATCATAGTCGCTGTGGACCATTTAACACGCTACGCTGAGACCACCGCCCTTCCAAGTGTCACTGCGCGGGACGTGGCGTCCTTCGTCCTCCATCGATTCATACTACGACATGGTGCTCCTCGAGAACTACTAAGTGACCGATGTCGAGCCTTCCTATCAGAAGTCGTCACAGCTCTGCTTTCTGAATGCCATGCTGTTCATCGCAAGACCACGGCATACGATCCGCAGACTAACGGACTCACGGAGAGATTTAACCGCACACTCGGCGATATGCTCGCGATGTATGTGACATCTGATCATACTAACTGGGTTCGCATTCTTCCATTTATCACGTCCGCATACAACACCGCGGCACAATCAACCTCTGGATTTTCACCTTTCTTTCTCCTTTATGGACGCGAACCATCCCACACCATCGACACTCTCCTTCCATACAGTCCTGACGCATCCGAAGGCCCATCTGTGTCCGAAGCTGCCCGAAAAGCGGAAGAGTGCCGTGAACTCGCACGCACCTTTACGTCACAAGAACAGCAGCGCCAGAAAGAAAAGAACGCCGGCTCTTCACGAAGCCACAGCTATTCCCCGAGATCATTTTTATGGCTGGCTGTTCCTTACCGAACCCCCGGCCTTTCCTCAAAACTCGTCCCGAAGTACGAGGGTCCTTACCGCGTTTTGGAGCAAACCTCGCCGGTGAATTTTCTCATTGAGCCACTTTCCCCATCGGACGACATGCGCCAGCGTGGACGTGACATCGTCCACGTCGACCGCCTTAAGCCATATTATAGCCTTCTGCCTCCAGACTTTTAGGTCGCCAGGATGGCTCTTTTTCGGCGGGGGAAAATTGTGAAGAAGAAAACGCATCGTTGGCAAGCAACATCGCCACCGCTTGGGTACTGGGTCCTGGGCTTCACTCGCTCGCCTCGTGCTGATCGTCGCCGGCAGCTGCTTCACCGTTGCACTGTCCCGATCGTGTTTTCTTCGTAGGGCCACTATCGCAATACACGCCAATAAACTCCTTTTCAATGGTATTCTTTTCTACGTCTTTCGGCCCAATAAGAACACGTCACAAAATACAAAAGAAAACATTCGTAACAGCAGAATTGGTGGCGGCGCTCACATGCTTTCGTAAAATAGTCCATTATTTTGCACTGGCACCGGTGTGTCGATGGGCGCATATGCATCTGCAATGGCCTTCTTGCCGTTTGTAACAGTGAAGGGAGCTTCAAGGCCTCATTTTGCTTTCCTTTTTGTGCAGTGCGTGGATCTCGACCAGGCAAGAGTGTGCAGCTTACTGAGAACGAGGTCCGCGGCCTGTGCCTCAAAGGGCGCGAGGTGTTGCTGACACAGCCCATGCTGTTGGAGCTCGAGGCACCCCTAAAGATTTGCGGTGACACCCACGGCCAGTACTACGACCTGCTCCGGCTGTTCGAGTACGGCGGCTTCCCTCCAGAGAGCAACTACCTCTTCCTGGGTGACTACGTAGACCGGGGACGACATTCCCTGGAGACCATCTGCCTCCTGCTTTGCTACAAGATCAAGTACCCGGAGAACTTCTTTATCCTGCGCGGAAACCACGAGTGCGCCTCCATCAACCGCATCTACGGCTTCTATGATGAGTGTGCGCTTCCTTTCCATTTCACGTGTGGGCTCCGAAGGAGTGCCTCTTCGCTATTTGTCTCATTATCACGCTTATTGACACATTCGTGATAGCCGCCTGAGTTATGTTAGGAGCCCTAATGCTTGGGGGTCCCTAAGCGTGAGCTGCATTTCCAGTAGTCTAATGTCATGTGGTGGGTTGAGGGCTCGTGACAATCGCACTGCAATAACCTGATGGGCCGTTTTATCCAATCGTCGTAGCCCTTGGAGGCCCACGTGCACTACAGTGGGATTTGTTGAGAATGGTGCGATTTAACGTCAACAGGAAGTACTCCTCCTTCACAAAAGCTTGAGTGGGTACAAGGCCGGTGCAGTGCAAGAGTTTTCAGAAGCAGATATCAAGTGGCTACCCCTGCGATAAAACACAGGCTGTTTATGAGTTGTCCTTGTTTGATCAGTAAAAGCTGACTTTTGTAGTGCTTATCACGCATTCTCGGTCTAGTTAAATGTCGAGATACAAGTAAAATTTAGGTACACATGTAAACAAGTACGCCCAAGCTTCATTAATTTTACAGTAACAGCTAATTAATTCAACACTTTAATTTGAAAGCCAGGTACATCTACCGTGTTCACTGCTTTCAGTCAACACATGCACTTTTTACAGACATCAAGATTTCGTTAATTTTGGCATAATTGACTACAGGTTGCCTAATTCAAACAGTTCTCCATGCCTACCTAGCCCGAACCACCGCAGATAAGCGAAACAAAAAAATACATCCACAGGCAACCAAAATGAGGCGGTGCTGCCCGAATCGCTATAATGGTCGGTTTCTTTCACGTGACACTTTTGTCCTCACAGAGATCTACCGCAGCTTCATCTTAACTTGCTGTGATGTGCGCTCAATATCACAAAACGGGGAAAAAAGTGTAAGCTGTGGTCTGGCTTCTGGTATAGAACAAGATTGCTACATTTATATAAAAGAGCGGTCGGTTGCCGGCTATTTTACCTGCAAGAGAAGCACAAGCACACGCACATGCTGGTCGTGGTGGTACGTAATAACCTTGCGATAGGTTCAAGGCACATTTAAACTTCAGCTGCGGTGACATTGAAAACAATGTCGGGAATCACAAAAATTGCAGCTTTGACGCTGCCCTTATGCAAAATTGCGACAGGATTTGCGTGTTCATAAAAAATGAATTAATTAAGTATACTTGTCTTTTTTGATAAATCGGCATTTCATTAATGAGGACATGTAGCCCCGTCCTGTGAAATTCTACCTAATGAGTTTTTACAGCACTGAGATTCAGAACAATGTCACTGGCGAGTGTGTTCAGATAATGAACTATTTTTTATTTTGCGTGCAATTTTTATAAAAGGCGGGAAACATCTCAAATAAAAGAACTCAAACTTCGTTATGTTAAACTTACCACAGCTTTCTGGCGAAAAAAAAAGTCGTGGTTCGCTTTAAGTGGAAAGAAGGAACTTCTGCAATCATTGATATGTGCGGTTTAACGTGCCAAAACCACTGTATATGATGAGAGACGCCGTAGTGGAGGGCTTGAGAAATTTCGACCCCTTGGGGCTCTTTAACATGCACCCAAACCTGAGCACACGGGCCTACAGCATTTTCACTTCCGTCAAAAATGCAACCACCTCAGCCTGAATTCAATAGCGTGACCTGCGGGTGAGCAGCTGAGTACCTGAGCGACTAGAACACCATGGCGAGGCACTTCTGCAACTTTCAGATTGGGCAACCTTGCAGGCGTATCACTCAGAAATGAACTCATTATGAACATCATCTTATCCTTTATATAATGGCATTATTATTGTTATTGTCCTATGCAAACATAATTTGTGTCTCACAGTTAAGCTTTTCTTTTTAAATATCCACACTTTAAATTTTGAGTGACTCCCTCTGACTGTCTCCCAATTCGGGGCTGTTCTTTACTACTTCCGATAAAGCATTTAAACTTAAGGTCTTCTCTAAAAGTTTTTCGCTTATCACAAAAAAAGAACAAGCATGCAACTACATAGCTTATTTATTAGGTTACAAATTATAATTGCGAAAGCAAAAGTAGTGAAAATCGCGACATTTTAGAGTGGTGCTAAAGAATAATCGTCACCGATTTTCATGAAAATTATGAAGAATACTCCGTACAGATTACTGACTACTGTGTGGCAAACTGTGTAGCAACTGGTTAAATTAAGTAAAAGACTAGGCCAAATTAACCATACTGCGATGCACGGCCTCCTAATGGTGAAATAAATTTCATAAACATGGTTACTTTTTCTTTAACTTTTCTCGTTCTAATAAAGTGGGAGTTACGCGTACTTGCTCATTTTGAGTCACATGATTGAATGTTTAGGGCTCCGTTGTCTGTATCATTACTACACTACGTCGATGCAGCAGGCACGTGAGAGAGCTTACCAATAAAATCAGCTGATGTAGGGTGCGAAACTGTCGGCATGCCAACCATTTGAGCTGGAATTAGGTCCCGTATCTAATGCAAAATATATTTAATTAGTCTTTCCTTAGGAATATGGGGAAATTTTTCTTCAAAGAAAGATATTTACTTGCTTTAGGACTACTTAGGGGGCATCTTTCGATTGAAATCTCACAGAAATATATCTCTATACTTTATTGATAATGAAAGCCTTCGTGTTGTCGTATTAAACAGCATACTTACTCCGATTTTATTCTATAAAGCAACGAATGTTCCGGAGACAAAGGCTAGTTCTAATTGCGAACAGGTGACCATTGCATGCGATTCCCAAGAAAACGTTCGAGGGCTAGTAAACAATGACTAACTCATTATTCACCAAAATGTGTTAAGATGATGGGTGTAAGAAGTTATGAAACTACAAGAACCATACGTTCGTTCATGTTGTTCACGCCACGTGGCACGGGTGATGTTAGTAAGGCAAGCAAATTTCGAAAAACTCCAAGTTCACAGCTTCTTCCACTCCGCGTCTGCGCATCGCTTTACGCACAGGTAGTTTCCTTGGTCGCAATTGATGTGCTTCCGCAAGTGTGTCACCTGAATCCCTAGAGTGCATCTGGCCAATTTTCATTTTTCTTTCGTCAGTTCTCTGAAAGCGTCCACGTTACTTCTTCAAATGCACTAAAGAATATACTTATAACTTTACCAGCTACAATACTAGCAAAATCACTTGCTCACTGAATAACCTCAGTGGCAGGTGTTGGAGAGCTATGAAATGTGACTCTAGAAGGACAGAAAGCTATGCCACTTGGTGACAGTATTTTATAATATTTTAACAGTGAACAACTACACGGACACTAGAGATTGGAAGAAGGGGCTGCACAGCGCCGCGGTTTGTCCTTTCTTGTATCCATGTAGTCGTGCGCTGTGTTCAACTATGATTAAGCGTAGCTTGGTGTTTCACAAGCCAACCGACACTGCCACACACATGTTTGCAGTTCCCTGTAGTCGAAAAAATGCCACTTAGTTGTTAGAAGCTCACTGCATTTTAACTCATAAAGTTGGAATTTGTTTGGTGTAAATAGGAGCATAATCTTCAATGTGGTCATTTATTTTTCTCAAAGAAAAACAAGCATCTGCAGAATTGTGGCTAACGTCATCGCTATTTGTCAGGTTGACTTTTTTGTCGATACTACTCAAGCAATGATGCTAACTTGCACACTTTGCCAATGAAAGGATTGCAATTCTTCTAGAAGTACGATGGACAAATTTCCGCAATGTTAAAGTGGAAAACAATAAAACCCTTTTCAAGGCATTGTTCTCCATAATGTATGGCATTTGAAAGTGATCTAACACCTCATGTAGTTATGAGCCATCTGTTTCACAGTCACATTTTGGAATTTTCTTTAGGAATGCTGAAGGAATCACAGTCTTCTTATTTCTCCTGATTCCCAAGTAGCAACTACAATTTCTTCGTCCGGTGATATGCTTACAGTTCTCAGGCTGAGTCCATTCTTCCGAGGACACTATTTGCAGTTCTCTGCGGAGCATTTGGTGCCAGTTAGGCACAAATATAGCGCTTTCACATTTTAGATCGACATCAAAGTTCGCGAAGCGTTTTTGATTGTAATGAGGCACAGTTTGAAATTTGCACAATATGCACATACACACACCTGCCAATGCGGTGAGAATTTTACCCATTCTATGCGCGAAGATATTATTTTGTCAGTCCTACCACTGACAGCTTGGATTAGCAAGTTTGTAATCTTTCATGAATATATATTGTTTCATGAATACAAAAGAAAAATCAAGGAGGTTCTTTCGATCTTGTAACACAAAAAGTGGAGGGGGGTCCTTAGGCTCCGCCTAAGAGTATCCGGTCCCTAGGGTGTACTTCAAGCACTTAATAACTAAAATCTTCTCAAACTTGCTATGCACCCACTACGCGGCATAAGGGAATTCGTGCAGCAACGTCTGTGCCTAATATAGTGGCCAACCAGCTTTAAACCATGAAGTCATAATGATAATCATATATTCTGACGCCCAGTGGAACTGTATGCTCGCACCATAAATTGGTACTGCGCTATTTCATGTTTTATATTAAAGCATGTATACAGGAAGCGTGTGTTTGTAAAGCACGCAAGTCACTTTCGCTTCATTACCGAGCAGAGAAAGTTATTTTCACTGTATTCACAAGCGAAGGCGTCGCCGTGTGGTGAAACATCCACTTGCTACGCCAACAACCCGTGTTCAATCCCCACTCGGACCTAGAATACCTCATTATTTTATTTGCATCTTTCTCGATTTTTCGATCACGCACAAGATGATGATTTTCGCTACTACCAACGACGCCAACGCCGACACTGACGCCGATGCCGTAATTTCCGCTAAACCAGTTCTTCAACTCTGTCATGTTCTAAGTACAGTGAACCTAACGTAAAAATAGCTGCAAACAGTCATTCGAGCGTTGTTTTGCGCTAATTGTATAGTGCTTCCGTAGCGTCGGGAAAAATAAAGTACGGAAAAAGGCCCTTTTTCTGACCTCGTTTTTTTACCGTGTAGTTTTTTTTTTTGTCGTCTATGGGCTAATGCTTATATTTAGGATTGAACCAACTATCCACGCCTCATTCTGCTGAAATGCATCTATTCTGCAATGAGCTATTTCCCATTTTCCTCTTTCGACACCCAAGCTCAGAAATACGCACGGCAGAGCGCATCTGCCACATTTTATGCAGGATTTATTAGTTCTTGCAAAACTCTTGCAGACTTCCACTTTTCCCACGTAGTTCACGTTTGCCAATACTTCGCTTATCGTTACATTTCTAATATGATTACCTTTGCTAACTTTCCAGCACTTTCAACTTGTAAACTATGAACAATAGAACCACGGAAATATATGAATCGCTATTGGCGATGTGCTGAAATGAGCTTGTATTTTTGCACGTCGTGCCCTCGCTTTAACACTAATTGAATTCATTGCAACCATCTTTCTTTTAAACCTGTTTTAGGCAAGAGGAGGTTCAACGTCAAGTTGTGGAAGACGTTCACAGACATCTTCAACTGCTTACCTGTGGCTGCCATTGTAGACGAGAAGATTTTCTGCATGCACGGAGGTATGTACGCGTCTGGTCTGCTACACACGCGGAACACCACATTTAAATGTACCTCGAATAAAAATCTGTAGGTATTCGAAATTTTGAATACAATTGCTTTCGGGCACCGCCGCGGTAGTCTTGTGGCTAAGGTACTCGGCTGCTGACCCGCAGGTCGCGGGATCGAATTCCAGCTGCGGCGGCTGCATTTCTGATGGAGGCGGAAATGTTGTAGGCCTGTGTGCTCAGATTTGGGTGCACGTGAAAGAACCCCAGGTGGTCGAAATTTCCGGAGCCCTCCACTACGGCGTCTCTCATAATCATATGATGGTTTTGGGACGTTAAACCCTACATATCAATCATAATTGCTCTCGGATATATCTAACCTGGTATACCCAATAATTGGCCGTATCGAACAGTAGAGAAGTCTTCTACACTTTCCCATGTGAAAGTACGGAGTTGGTGCACATGTACCTGGAAGCCCCGCACACCTAAACATCGGCCATATTTAACGCTGCGCCACCCCGAAGCTGAATAAGTGTACTTTGCTTATAATTATACTTTTTAGCCGCATTCTAACTAGGTAATATATCTATTCGAGTGCAGGTGATGACGAAACAATAATATTACATTGTGTTCATCTGTTCGGTTGCACTGCACTTGCGTCACTCGACTGTCTGATACGAAATCTGTAGGTTTGAAGGCGTAGTCATGCTTTTCAAAGGGTATGAGTGCCGAGGCACCAAAATGAGACGAATAGGAAATCACTATAGGCAGCCTACAACAAAGCAATACATGCCATTGCAAAGATGTCGATACAATTTCCTTTGGTGTTTGTGGACAGCATGGTACCTTGCGCTTTGGAAAATTGTGTACTTCTTGCCTGGTTTCTAACAAATCCTTACTTGTGAGTGGAACTAAACCATGACCTGCTCGTAGCAAAAATAATCACTGTAATTCACAACGACGTCAAGCGAAACACCGTCATGAGGCTTTTTCTTGGTGGGCTTTGGTGCCAGGTGATTACTTTTGGTGCGTTTTGACTGCTGTCAACGACGTGTGGTGCTTCGTTGAATTTCTCTATCAGCATTTTTGGGTGCCATCACGTACAGGGGTACAGTAAGTGACTTCGTCGACTCTGACGACGACGTAACTGTTTCTGGCTGCACTAATGCCGAGACCATGGTTGACACTTATGGGGCCGCCAAAGTGAACCATGCAGTTATGATGATGCGAATGCCACCATTAATCTACCTTTTATCACACTCCTTAGCTTGTATCCACGTTCATTGTCAATTTTGCCAAGAGGCGCTGAACTAGCCTAATTAGAGATCTTCAATGATATTGAGGATGACTTGATGAGCCTGACAGTGCACAAGGAGCAAAACCAGTTTACGGATTGCATGAAAAGAAAGCCTGGTAATTAGTGGAGTAAGCTTCCAGTTTGTTTTTTAGCATAGTGCCAACTAATATACATGTTATTATGCGAGAAAATGCATGCGACAGCGACGAGCGACGCTGTTAGTGATGCAACAGGCCAATCGTGCATGTCAAGGAGTCTATATCGCGCTTTCGCTGTTTTTTTTTAGGTTAGAATCTCTCGCTCATCACCCGAAAGTGCTGCAGGCTCAAGCAGCCACTATAGCACAACGCCGGAAGATAATGTGCAGCAGTGACGTACTCATCACATGCGCAAATAATGAAATTATTTCTGCAGCACAGTGATATTTTATATACTATTATGCAACAAAACACCCTTTTTCACATTATAACGTGGCACTTTTGCTACGAATAGATTACATCGCGCCTGAAACAGTGGAGATCCCTCGCCCAAATCATCACCTGAACGGGGTTTTTCAACGGAAGTGGCAACTTTCGAGAAGGCATTCTACGCCGGGTTGCTCCTCACTGTCAGGTGCATTCTCACGCATACGGTATTTGGCCTTTCACAGTCGTCCAAGTTTGCGAAAACCGTTTTGAGACCTGCAGTGCATTATTATAAGCATTACCTACGCATATATTGCATTTCAAATTATCAATATATCGAAATGCTTCGAGATCCCCTTCGAGTTCTATAAATGTGGGACCAGTTGTATGAACATATCATTCCAGTAAAGGCATTGCCGCAATCTTCGGGAAGTCCATTCATTGATAATCTAGTCTCTGCAGCTGCCGAAAAAACACTAGGCCTTTTGCGCCATGCTGGCGTCATCAACATGCTAGGCGCTGTCAATTTTCAGCAACAAAAAGCTGAATTTATGTGCACTAATTCCTGGCATATGGTGAACCATGCTGGCTTTAACACAAAGAATTTTTTTGTGTGTGAAATGGCAACGCAGTAGAACACTCAGAGTGCAGTCATTTGGTGGTAAATATACGCTTTCCTGGACAAACTTCCAGGTCTGAGCCCCGACCTCCAGTCCATGGAGCAGGTGAAGCGGATAATGCGGCCGACGGACGTGCCCGATCAGGGCCTGCTGTGTGACTTGCTGTGGGCCGATCCCGACAAGGACATCATGGGTTGGGGGGAGAACGACCGGGGAGTCTCTTTCACTTTCGGTGCCGATGTGGTCGCAAAGTTTCTGCACAAGCATGACCTTGATCTCATCTGCAGGGCACACCAGGCGAGATTTTCTATGCAAGAACTGCGTTATTTTTAAAATAACATGCTCCAGATTTACATTGATACAATAATGAATTGCGAGGCGGTGAAGTATTTTATCGTACGGTACAAAACAGTACAAAAGAAATGGTTAGTTTGCCTCTGCCAAAATGGACGCTAAACAAATACTACAATTCAAATAAGCATCGGTGGATCAATGGCTTCTACATTTATGAGACAGCAGTAACACTGCTAACAGAACATCAATTTAGTTAATGTCTATCGCCCTCGCTCCCAAACGCTTTATTTAGGCATATGAAAAATCATGGCATTTTTTAACACGAAATTTTTTAAGCGGTGGTTCACCTAGATTTTAGTGACGTTTTCTGTCATGGAAATGACGTGGAAGAAATATGCGTTATCAGAAAGCAAAAAAAAAACTTTTGCTAACGGAAGTTTAAGGCACAAACTTTCGGTCGAGGTCAACTCAAGCCGGGCACGCTACCTACTATGCCACAGTCACATGCTTTGGAAGCTTTACAAGTATGCCTTTTATATCTCGCACTGTCCTTTGACAGTGCTCCTGGTAAAGCGAAGAAATGCATGGGGATCGTGACATCTATGGTAGTTCTTCTACGCTTCGTTTCTACGCATCCATTCAACACAGCGCGTTTCCAAGAGAACTGCCCTTTTTTTAGCTGCATTACACAACGACAGGTGTCGTGGTCACCTCACGCTTCAGAAGTATAGTGAGCTGTTACATGTATTGACGAGAGAGATGAAAAAAAGAGAAGAAAACCACTTGCTGGAAAGGAAAGAGAAAGCCAAAAAGTTGGTGGAACAGAGAAATCCGCGAAGCGATCGAGAAGAAAAGTGAAGCATGACGGGAACACAGACAGGCAAAAAGGGAGAAGTGGCCAAAGAATGAAGTCGGCGAAATATGGGAAATATATTTAGAGAAAAACAAACATTGTGCAGAAATTGGTAATTGTTCAAGGCAAAAATTGAAGGTGAAAGTGAACGCTGGATGAGGGAAATTCGCGAGAAAAAGAACGCTGCATCTCGAATATTTTGGAGCTACGTAAAAGCGCTAGGTAGGACGTCTGTCAGAATGCAACAACATATGGCAGATGAAGGTGGAAAGAAATTGCAAGGGTGCGAAGCACTAGGTTTTTCATTTATTTACAATACCTCAAAAACCCCAACGAATGGTTTTACAAATCTGAAAGGTAATGGTAGATTTGTTTAAAAAGGTCGCCCAGGGAACTTCTTCAGGCAGTAAAAGTATGAAAAAAGTGGAACCGAGGAAGAAGTAGTATTTGAGAATTTCAATTGGAAGAAGGCCGAAAGAAAAATTCCTAAGCGCAATACTCTGGGCTTAGATGGGGTTCCCGTCCGCCTCATTTACGAACTAGGACATAGCACTAAAGAAGCTCTGCTGAAATCCGCAGAAATGTGCTTACATTTGGCGGCAAAGTAGAATGAACCTAATATATAAAGGCAAGGGAGAAAAGGTTCACATTCGCTCGTATAGGCCGCTAACCATTAAATCTGTGGTATACAGGCTGGCGATGCAGGCAGTAAATAAAACTTAAGAACGTGGGCAGAGCAAAATATTTTGGTAGAACTGCAGAATGAATTTCTAATCGACAGGTGGTTAGACAATAATTTGTTTGTTCTTACTTAGTGTATATAAATACCTGAAATAGAAGAGATACCCTTATACGTAGCTTACCTGGACATCACTGCTGCATATGACAACGTTAATCAGGAAATTTAGTGGGACATATTGAAGGAAGTGGGCATAGGTGACGGCTGTATACAGCTTTTGAGAGAAATATGCCGAGAAAATACAGTTTGCATAGAATGGGCTGGAATAAGTAGCAATGACAGCGTTGAAATCAACAAGGGACTGAGACAGGGATGTCCTTTGTCCCCGCTGTTATTCATGCTGTGCCTAGTGAGGATGGAAAAAGCGCTGGAAGGTAGCAACGTAGGGTTTAACTTGTCACACAAACAGGCTGGCGCGATGGTTGAGCAGAAGCTTCCAGGTCTATTTTATGGAGACAATATTGTCCTATTTGCTGACAATCAAGACGATGTACATCGGCCGGTAGATATATGTGGAAGAGAAGGCGAGGCTCTTGGACTATAATTTAGGGCAAGAAATGCTTATTTATGGTATTCAATATCACGAAGCCCAGGTGGTCTTAATACAGGGCCAAGAAGTACCGAGGGTAAGCGAGAACAAGTATTTTCTCGGTATTTCGCTTACCCACGATATTTCTTGGCCCTGTATTGAGACCGCCTGGTCTTTGTGATCATTTAATACCGTCGATCTGCATTTTTCACACTAAATCATAGTCCTAGATTTGTATAGAAAAAGCGTGGACACAAAGTGGAGAAAAATAACTAGGAGGCTCACCAGTACACATATGGCTGGCAGTGTGGGCGACACGGCAACAAGGAGCATCAAGCGAAGAGTCAAAAAGGTGGAGAGAAATTATTGGATGACAGCGAGGAGAGAGGGAAAAGTATCCGGCTCTCAGTAACCACTGAAAGGGCAAGAACTAAATTAGGCGGGAAAAGTTTTATAATATTTCAAGGGGAAGCGCGTTACGGTTCGAAGTGAGGTCGAGTTTCCTTAGATCGCGTAGTCATAAAGCGAGTTTCAGTAAAGAACAGCACTTTACATGCTGTGGTGCAGTCAAGAAAATGATGGAACATGTTCTTATTGTATGCAGCGATATCCACCCCGGTATACGTGTGGGTACAAGCTTACATGAGGCTTTGGGTTTCAGGGACAAATATGGAAAGCTGACTATGTCTGCGAGTGAAGCAAGTAGGAGAGGGTTAGAGTACTGGTGGCAACAAAGTAGAGATAAAGGACGGAAACAGTGGAAAAATGAGGTCATTCTGCCTGAAGATGCAGAGAGATGAAATACAAATATATTTTTGTTGTTATAATAAAATTGATTTAATCGAAGTAGATAAGGCATTAGGCCAACATAAGTATCAATATCTTTTCGTTGTTTTTTTTTGCGAGCCTGGTGACACACCTGTCACCACCCCTTTATAAAAGGGGCGCTCATAGGATCCATCTATCCATACATCCATCCATCCATCGTCCACGTTCATACCATTCATTAAAAAAATATAGCTCTCCGTCGCCTGGCTGTAACTCCATGTTCTTCAGTTACGCTCGCTCCGTAAAAATAATGGCGTAATAACAGCGTAGACATGACGCAAGTTTCGTGCTGCAGCACCGACAGGGACATCCAGACACGAATCCTGGAACGAGCGGCATACGTGATCAAGAAGCATGGCCTGGCAGCCTACTTGGTTTAGCCTCCCTTACCCATTCAAAGAATAAAAGTTGGCACTCACTCACTCACTCACTTCTTCTAGTATGGCAACGGCGCTCAAGACTCTAACATCGTTCAAGCCTTAGCTCAAGTTCAGCCATCATTCAGTGACGGCTCCCTTGGCTGTCGCACCGTTTATGCCGATTCCGCTCTCACCGTTAACCCCAACAGCTGGAACAAGCGTTTGTTCACTCATCGATCACGAACGTCAGTCCTCGGGATGATTATGTATCACTAAGCGTCACGTAGGTGCGTTCGCGCTGAATGGTGCTATCGCTGCTAAACGTCGAGAGAACTTGTGCAAGCTCAGTAAACATTCCACTACTACTGTAGACGCAAGTTTTCCTTTCCTATTACTGAGAGATCAACCATCTTTTTTTTCTAAAAAAAAACCTTTCTCACGGGCACCTTCTGCGCTTGCGCATCGGAAACACTTTGATGGTGCCACTCCGAAACATTTTTAGTGGCTCGGGGCCTCCGAAACCATTTGGCACACCATCTCAAAGGCCATAGATGCGAACGAACGCAAAAGCTCTCATGATTTCGCGTCGACCGGAACATTTGGCAAAGCCACCAAATTTAGCTTTGGTGCTCACCAATAGGGACACTGTACCTATGATGCAAACGATCATGTTTGCATGAACACTTGATTGCTCTAAAATGTGGAGTGTCCGAGTTGGTCCTTTTTCAAGGAAGTGTAGAATACTGCAACAGGAGACGAAAGATTTCAGAACAATATGCTGCCCTACGTTGTTGCTTCTCTTGTTTAGTCGCATTCTCCGCTCTATTTCAAGAAAATTAATGCAACACTGGCATCTCTTGCAAGAGCGCTAGAATAATCAGGCTATGCTAAGCAGTGCTGTCATGGCACTAATGCAATAACAAGCTATTAAAAAGGCATTTTATTGGTAAAGTGGACACGTTCTTTTCCTCGTGCTCAGGTTGTGGAAGATGGGTATGAGTTCTTTGCCAAGCGACAACTGGTTACTATTTTCTCGGCGCCCAACTACTGTGGTGAGTTCGACAACGCTGGTGCCTTGATGAGTGTCGACGAGACCCTCATGTGCTCATTCCAGGTGAGACTGCGCACTTACTCATCTCTCATTCAACTAAGTGTCACTCTGGTGTGTTTCATGTCGCCATGAACTGAAGCAAGCGTGGTCGATCGTTCTGTTACGGGGCTTCTTGTACCTGCCAGATTGCGTGCGGGCTTGAAAGATACATTTTTAAACATTTTACACCTTGGCGTACTATGTGACCGAGTGCGCCAAGTGCGCACTTTTTGGATACACGCATTGCATACACGAAGCATATCACACATTGGGTCCTCAGGTTTGGGCGCCCAGGCGCTACGTTAACAGGCAGAGTACCATTATCGGGAAACTCACTCTTAGCATCAATGGATTCGATCATTTCAACGACGCAGGCGGTGCCATGTAGCCATGCTCCGAAGCTGTCACACGGAGATGAAACTGCGACGCAGTTCGGTTTCTCAAAAGTCATAAACCAATGACGGCGTCTTCACGCACTACGACGCTGACGTAATAGCTCGCGACATCACTGTCTCGTCCGCCATTTCGACCTTCCGCTGCGCCGCCTATAGTCGCTGGAGTGGTCGAATTTTGTCCCAAGTGTGTGTTCAATGCAAGAGTCGGCTGGTACCACATGGTACCTTCGGCTAAGTTTCTATTGTTGGAAATTGTTATAACATTAATATTATTAATTAAACTAACTAAAGTTAAACACGGATGTAACGAACCTCTGTTATTTAGCGAACTTAGCATTTCCCAACTTCATTCTCATAGACGCCTATTTAGTTTTTACCTATATGTAATGAAGACATGGAGACAAATAACCGGGGTTTAACAAGGTTTCCAAGCTGATTTGATATTTTGAGCAGTACTTCCGCCGAAAATTTCAAAATAATGTAACTTTTGCAATCGATAAAAAAAAACAAGCGGCGATGACGAGAGCAAAGCATGCGAGCGTCGCAGTCAGAGCCGTCAACCTTCCATGCCGATATGATGACCATGATCAAAACTACTAGGCGCCAGACATCAGTGGCCGTCGCCGTCAACTCGGATGGTCCAAACAAACATCGTGATATCACAACGTTACTATTAAGTTATAGGGATGTGACACTGTGATCTCCAATGACGATGCTACCTCATGTCATCTTCCTTTGCACGAAGGTGGCCACACTCTGGAGGCAAGTGAGGGGCAGAAAGCGTGCAGTGCATCCTGTGCACGAGACAGTGCAATACTGTGCTAGGTGCAGACATATTTTGAGGGAGGGATCATGCATAATTCAATTCACCTTTTCATAAACGCCTCCCTGGGCGCCGCCATACCCTCCTTGGGCTGTGCTAATTGGCGCGTCCCCTCGAAAATGCACTGGAAACGCTGCGCCCTTAGCCTTTGTACTCCCGCACACAGCCCATCATGGCGGTGTTTTTTTCCTTTCTGTGAAAAGGTGTACAGGAAGATGAAGGCAAATATAATGAATTTCACCTTGCAATTATCTTAGGTGAATGCATTACGTACCACACTCTTTTTTTGCGATGACAGCAACGTATGGATGAGGGTCGCCGCATTTTCCTAAATGGGTGGTGACTTCCACCCGACCAAGCCCAAGCTTTGCTGTTGTTGTTGTTGTTGTTGTTGTTGTTGTTGTTGTTGCTGTTGTTGTTGTTGTTCTTTTTAGCAGTAAGTAGTAGTAACAGGAGTAGCAATAATATTAGTAGGATTAGTAGTAGCAGTAGTGTTAATGGTAGTCGTAGTAGTGTTACATTACGGCCAAATATTGTCCAGCTGAGCTTTGGTTCTCTTCCTATAAACAAAACCTTTTAACTACACAACCCGAATTTCTGTCCCTGATCGCAGACTAGCGTACTTCAGTTTCACTGCTTTTTTCTTGCTCTTTGCCTAATTTTTTGTCACCACTCCTCCTCTTTCAATTATTTCTATTGCCGACTTGTTTACCTTTCCAATGTTGTTCCGGAAACGCAAGGCTTCGTATAGGTTAGTAACTTAACATACATCTGAGTGTATATCTTCACATTCAATTAAAACATGCCTCGTAGCTTCCTCACTTCTCTTACGCTGACGTATCGCTCTCCTTGATCGATCAAAATTTTCAACGTATTATAAAGACAACCGACTTCATGAACTGCTTTCTCTTGAACTATGGACCGTTTTCAAAATTCAGCGCCACCTATCGAGCGAAACCGTAAACATGTTTTTTTTTTCCGCCATGCCTTGTTCACCCATGGTGATGCGCGCTGCTGATACCAGTACGCGATTTTCGCTGCGTTTGTGGGTTGCGGTGGGAAGTCGGTGGGACACCGGAAAAGACGCACAGCTGCCACGTCAGGGAGCGGCGCCACTGTGGCCCTTGCGTGACCTCTTCGGGTGGTGGACGGGCTGCTATGACCGGCAGAGCAAGGATATCGCCTTCAAGGGATGCTCATTGCCGTACCATCCAAACGCAGTACACGTCCTACAGGAACGCAAGTGGTGTCCGTGTTCGCTGCAGGAAACGCTCATCGGCGTCGCTGGGACACACAGCCCACCAGTTCGCACGAGTGAACAAGATATGGCGGAAGAGCCATGTTGCCAGACTGAAATTCCTGAAGGGTGTATATGACTTAAAATTTATTGTCATAATCGCCGTCATTATATTCGTTACTACTATTGTCTTTATCCTTTCGTTGCAGTTACTGCGATCTGGTTTGCTTTCTCTCACTCCTATCAAACACTTGATGTTCACCTTTATGACGTTTCATGTAGTATTTTTGTTGCTTTGCCACCTATACTACCAGCCGTACACCTCCTGATCAGTCTCTTGAATATTTTTTCGGCCGTGATTCAACACTCTGCTTAATTAGAAACCACTATGTTCTGGTCGTACCTGTGGTGTTTCATTTTTTTAGTCTCTCATAAGACCTAATTGTCCAGCTACTCAAGTCGCTACCTACTATATCACCACCACGCGTATGCATGTCGTACAGTGAAGTATATTTTTACTGTATAATTATCTTTATGTATGTATTTTAAGCGTAAAATGTGAGTAATAAAAAAGTTGTGCATTGTAAATAAAGTAGGGCAAGTTGGATCATGACAAAAGGTACTCTTCAAAAATGAGATCAAAACCCTGATTGGCGAGCTTCTATTATGTGTACAACCAATTTAGTTTCTAAGATAATAAAATCGATTTTACGCCATTTTGAATGCTGATATGAGTATGCGTTAAAACACGGCATACGAGTGGCAAGCACCTTTTGTCAAGGTTGACGGGCTGCGTGGTGATGCCGACTGGAAAGGCTGCGGGGTCGAAACCCGATCGCCGTGGCTGTATTTCGATGGAGACAAAATCGTTAACGCCTGTGGACTTACTTTTAGGTGCATGTTAAGGAAACTCTGATGGATGAAATTTCTGGAGCCCTGTAGCATCCCTCACAAATATATTAGTGTTTTAAGGCGCAAACACCCAATTCAAAGGCAAGTTGTAGGATGTATAGGCCTGCTGTGGAGACAGTCGTCTGAGTTGGATGTACAGTAATGAAATATGTCACTTCTCAGAGCCACTTTTGCTGCCTGCTTTGCAGATTCTGAAGCCAGCAGACAAGAAAAAGTTTCCTTATGGTGGCATTGCAGCGGGAGGGCCCAAGCCCACTGCACCACATCGTGTACAGGTGAGGGAGCGTTATGTTCCATCACCTGTTTCTTATAGTTTGGCAGGGCTGCGCTGCAAGGCACCGACAGCTGCGCTGAAATTTTATACCACGTGAAACACACCCTCTTTCAGATAAAGGGGAGCTCCATACAAATGCTACATTGAAGACTGCATACGGATAATTTATGAAAATTATTGCAAGTTGTCATTTGTTGATGCTGAAACACTAATCATCATTACTTAATGCGCGCGAGTTGCATTCCTCGCCAAGTGAGCGCATTTTGACGCAAGCGATATGCAAACAACATCCGGCTGCTTTTATTGGCAGAGTTCCTTATTAAGCGCTGCCTTTCAACAGTAACGGGAGGCTGCCATCTATTGGCCAAGTTGCACAGCTGAAGTTGACATGTCTGTCTCCATTTTTGCCACTGCATGCGTGAGACTTGCTGGTTTGCTGGTAATGTAGCACAGAAAATCTGTTTGCCAGGTTAGTTCGTACGTAATCATCAATGAAGGGCACCAAACGAAATGGAGGCAAATGTACGTCCACCACAACAAACCATCAGCCCTCAGTCCTTAGAGGCTTCGAAGCAACTGACCAAGGCGGCGGTGGCATTCTTCCAAGACCCTGTATGATGTTTCTTTTCTGTAATAATAACTGAAATAAACTTGAGATGAACTCGTATCCCCAACTCCTCCCAACCTGGAGCTCTGAAAACACCCCATAAGTGCGCTGTGAATAGCAATCGGGAGATCGTGACTCCCTACCTCACACCTTTCTTTATTGGGATTCTGTCGCTCTCTTCATGAAGGACTATGGTGCCTGTAGATATCCTGTAGATTTCTTCCGGTTTGTTATTATATGTGATATATCAAGGCTATTTATATGAGCTTGATTGTTGTCCGTGCATTTCTCTACCACCTGATTGATGATGTGAATGCGACCTACTATTGCCAAGTAGCCTCTTGAAACCTCCTTGGTCTTTCGTTGGTTGAATTCTTAGGTGGCGTTAATTTCAGTAAAGTAAAAAGTTGGGCGAGTTGGTGCTGATTCATGATGATAAGGGGCGCGAAAAAAACGACACACACCAGAGAAGAAGTACACGGGACGACGCGCTACTAGCAACTGGAATATTTTATTCAGGAAACACCATTTATACCGCAGTGACATCAAGTTTAACCCAACAAATCGACCAAAAACTAAAAACCAAAACTACATGCTCAGCATGCCTACAAGTAACGTTGCAGATAGGCTATCTCCCCTTCCTGCAGACTGATAGAGGGGTGGCTGATGCAATCGGGCCCCTCCCTCTGGATAAAGAGGGCTTCTATAATCTCCCTCTCCGCTGAGCCCCTGTGCCTGTAGATTACAGTTGTCTGCTCAAATGCAGGCTTACAGTTACCCTGATCGCACCCTCTGCAATGCATCGCCAGATGCGTGAACGGTCTTCCTACTAAAGAGCTGCTGTGCTCTCGCAACCGCACGTTGAGGCATCTACCAGTTTGTCCTATGTATACCTTGCCGCACGGCAGTGGTATTCTATATACAACACCACGTGCGCAAGGAACGAACTGCCTTACGTGCTGCGACTGAAGATAGGTAGACACCGCAAGACACCAAGTGCCTCTCTCCGACACAATCGCACGGAAAGGAAAGTCTGGTTTGTGTGTTTTCACTGAAAAGAATGTCGCAGTTGCACTGCACTGAAACTGCGACATTCAGTTCAGTGCTGTCGCAGTGCAGTCCTATCTTCAGTCGCAGTTGAGTTCACTGAAAGTGGAGGACCCGTTCATCATTCCGAACTCGTCTACGGTAGTGAATTTCCTTAAAGGAAATGCCCATGAGAACACTTCGGGATTTAGCATCGACATAGAAGACTTATATTATTCACTGCCTCATGATGAACTGATGACTAGTGTGAAAGAGTGCATTGGCAACAATGATGAAGTGATGTTTGTGACCAAGTGCGGCATCTCTGTTCAAAGTTTTTTAGAATTATTGTTCTTTTACATAAAACACACGTACGTCGGCTGGAAGGGTAAGAACTTTGTGCAGAGATCAGGGATCTGTATTGGATCCAAAGTGGCTCCAGTACTGAGCAACATTTTTTTAGCCAGAGTTGACAATGATCTTGTAACTGGCCTTGATGGTTTGGTCCAGAAAGTGTACAGATATGTGGACGACTATTTGCTGTTGATCAATTCAGCCAACTTTGATAGCAGAGTTGATGAAGTGCTCAGTGTGTTTGGTAATAAGGGGCGGGGCTTGACATTCACGTGCGAAGTGCCGAAGAATGGACAGCTGCGTTTTCTGGATTTGCAGCTGTCATTCCAACAAAAACACGTGTGTTGGATGTTTTCCCCTAGGACCGCGAAACCGCTTCTTGATTACAGCTCTGGGCACTCTCGCCTAGTAAAAAATGGCATTGCCATGACGTGCCTAAAATCGGCGTTGGATAGATCATGCGCACATCTTATGGAGACAAGTTTTTTCGCGCAGGTGGAAAGACTAAGAGACGCGGCGTTTCCTGATAGTGTTTTAGCCGCTGCTTGCGAAAAAATAAAAAAAGTCCATTAAGCAACGGCCTGGGACAGGTCTAGCAGAGAATGTCCCGCAGGGAAGAAAAAGAGTGTCAAAAATACCGTATATCCACTGGCTTTCGCACGGCCTTAAGAGAGTGGCTTCGAGGTATGAGGTGGATCTCGTGTTCTCCGCAGAAAACAAGGTGGGCCGCATCTGCTCTGCGGTTGGTAAGAAGACAGGTAGGCCAAAGCAGTGTGAAAAAAGAGGATGTGCCATTAAGCACGTAAGGCAGTTCGTTCCTTGCGCACGTGGTGTTGTATATAGAATACCACTGCCGTGCGGCAAGGTATACATAGGACAAACTGGTAGATGCCTCAACGTGCGGTTGCGAGAGCACAGCAGCTCTTTAGCCTTTCAGATAAGGGGAGCTCCATACAAATGCTACATTGAAGACTGCATACGGATAATTTATGAAAATTATTGCAAGTTGTCATTTGTTGTGCTAAAACACTAATCATCATTACTTAATGCGCGCGAGTTGCATTCCTCGCCAAGTGAGCGCATTTTGACGCAAGCGATATGCAAAGAACATCCGGCTGCTTTTATTGGCAGAGTTCCTTATAAAGCGCTGCCTTTCAACAGTAACGGGAGGCTGCCATCTATTGGCCAAGTTGCACAGCTGAAGTTGACATGTCTGTCTCCATTTTTGCCACTGCATGCGTGAGACTTGCTGGTTTGCTGGTAATGTAGCACAGAAAATCTGTTTGCCAGGTTGGTTCGTACGTAATCATCAATGAAGGGCACCAAACTAAACGGAGGCAAATGTACGTCCACCACAACAAACCATCAGCCCTCAGTCCTTAGAGGCTTCGAAGCAACTGACCAAGGCGGCGGTGGCATTCTTCCAAGACCCTGTATGATGTTTCTTTTCTGTAATAATAACTGAAATAAACTTGAGATGAACTCGTATCCCCAACTCCTCCCAACCTGGAGCTCTGAAAACACCCCATAAGTGCGCTGTGAATAGCAATCGGGAGATCGTGACTCCCTACCTCACACCTTTCTTTATTGGGATTCTGTCGCTCTCTTCATGAAGGACTATGGTGCCTGTAGATATCCTGTAGATTTCTTCCGGTTTGTTATTATATGTGATATATCAAGGCTATTTATATGAGCTTGATTGTTGTCCGTGCATTTCTCTACCACCTGATTGATGATGTGAATGCGACCTACTATTGCCAAGTAGCCTCTTGAAACCTCCTTGGTCTTTCGTTGGTTTAATTCTTAGGTGGCGTTAATTTCAGGTGGCACTTTTGTATTTAGCTTGTAGGTAATATACGAAGAGCTAATTGGACTGAAATTTTCAAGTTCTTGACATCAGTTTTCTTAAGAGTTATTAGTATGTATTAGCATTATTCGATGATTTAAGTATTTTTAACATCAACAGACATTCATATAGTGCACGGCCACTTTTTTTAACCTCTGCCCACTGTCTTTCATCAGATCGGATGTTAGCATATTCTGACCAGTGTTTTTGTCATGGTGCATTCCCTCCAGGTCTTTCTTTATTTCCCCTATATTGCTATAAATCAAATGTCTGATTGCTCTGTGCAACTACTACTTCTTATATTATCGTCCTACGTATTGCAGCTACTGTACAGATTTTGGTAAAACACATCAGCTACATTAACATTGATTGGTCAAGGGAGTCAACATCAATGTCAATATGGAGAGTATAGTTGGAGTAGCACTTTCACGGCCTGCGCTAACTCTGTGATAGATGGCTGCAGTGTAGGCTGCTTTGGTTGAAGAACCTGACACATTATGTCATCCATGTCAAACTCGAAAAAGCCCCTGAGAAACTTCTCATTGATGCAAGTTACTATCTGCCTCCTCTTTCAGCGGGGCGAACAGCGCCTTTCCGGCTGAGTAGTCTACGCCCACTCTTATCTCGTGAGTGAACAAGGGGGGGGGGGGGGCGCTTATGGTCACCGCATCACTACGGCAACGATAAGCGCATGACTCTTTCCCCCACAGCCAGCGGGAGCTTTTACGGGCTGCGCTCTCAACATGAAAAAAAGTGCCAAAAGTGTACTTTGAGTGGCCGTCCACATATAGATGCGCTCTACACATAACAAACTGCCCCCAGCGGGGACACATGACATATAGTCCTTAGTAGAAGCATGACCGCGGGAGTTGCTTCTCATCAACGCCGTCACAACGCACAAGCCTAGTTGTGGTCATCTGTATACTATGGCTGCGCCGCAGAAAACTTGGTTACAATTATTATTGCTCCCAAAATGCTAGCGTTGCTTCGTGAAACATTCGAATATTATGCTATCACATCCATAATGCTTCGCCCTTTTGCTGAATCTGAATTTTTTTCGCCATCTTCAGTGTCTGTGATACTTACACGGCTAAGATGGCGCCTGCGCGTGAAGCTGATAAGCCGGCAAAGTGATCTGACCTATAGAGTTTCAGAGTCAAAAAACTTC